ATACGCAGTCATTTACCTGCTGCCGTGATATTATCGCATTGTGTCATCACTGATTTTCTGCGATCCATTCCCATACATTTCACTGTTAGTTTGCCTTTTTTGCTCAATGCCATACGTTTTGACAGACAACCGGGACTGGTGATTATCTTGCGTTATGCCCTGGTAGATCCAGGGTAGATCCAGGGTAGATCCAGGGTAGAGCTGGTCTTCAGCAACCCATGCTTGTAAGAGGCGACAAACCGGATGCGACATTAACAAACAAAAAACACCTAAAAAACCTCTGGCGTTGAAGTTTTACATAAAAGGAGAATCACTTACTTATGTATTGCCCTTCATATGTACACACTGTGAATACCGTGAACTCCGGTTAGAATTGGTCTTCAGCAACCCATGCTTGTCGCAAGAGGGGACTAAGGGGATCGAGTGGCCAGGCTCGCTGACTTGGTTGATGCATGTCATCGTTCCCAATTGCGTGGAGCGATGCTCATGTTCTCAATCACTGGATTGTCTGGCCCAGACTTGATTATATACAGACCCCTGTCATATAGCTGGAATATGGTTCAACGACAAATACAGACACAACTACTGGAAAGATTTCCATTCAAACGTATGATTGTTAGAGCAACGGAATTGTGGATGGACTTTCCTGATAACATATATTGCCTTGTGAAACCTGTAATTTTATTCGTACAGGATACAATTACTTATTGCAACACATATTTTGTGTTAAGTACAAGATAGCCTTGACATGATGCAGGTAAGAAAGTGTGCGCTAAAACACGTTAACCTAGAGTGAGTGTATAAATGGGTTCCTACAAGAGGTATAGGTGACCTATCTCTGTAACAGGCTGTTGTCAAAGGCGAATTTGCGTCTTAAGCTGCTTAAACGTAGGTTCGAATCACCCTTTCAGTCAGAATGCGATGCATCATCTGACTAGCATCTCGATGTGCTGCCCTCCCACATCTTCACAAGTAGCCACAGATCATCCATTCAAAGCGCTGCTCACTGCCTAAACGAGGCTTACAGTGCCGTGCGGTTGTTAGGGTAACTCTGTCCCGACCAAGTAAGTTGTGAGAGGGGACTAACTGGATCGGGTGATCCGTGAAGAGATGATAGCGTGTCATCGCACCCAGACTGCGTGGGTCGTTGATCATAATAGTAATTATGGCACACTAATGTGGCCGAAAAAAGGGGGGAAATAGTTATTATTCTCCATAATATAGGATGAAAAAAAGTATATTCAAATCAGGTATATTCTGTCTCTCCGTGTAAACAGATTGAAGGTGTCGATAAATGCGGAAAGCGTCATCTGCCACAAGGTTAAAGATCTTGTGTTCTTGTACAGTTATGAAATAAAACAGTATGAAAGTAAACGTTAAAACCATTTTTATCTTAAGGCATTATTGCTACTGTTTTCTTCTTCGAATGAGATATTCCCGTTAACTAACCGCGTCGTAAAGGGCGACTAACGGGATCGGGTGGTCAGGCTCGCTGACTTGGTTGGTACATGTCATCGATCCCAATTGCGTGGATCGATGCTCATGACATCAGTCATTGGATTGTCTGGTCCAGACTCGATTATTTACAGACCGCCGTCATATAGCTGGAATATTGCTGAGTGCTGCGTAAACCAACCAACCAACCAACCAACAAGCATAGTCGCCTTTTACGGCAAGCATGGGTTGCTGACGACCTATTCTACCCAGGAATTTTGACGGGTCTCACAAGATGTTATGTAGACACATTGTTCAGGTGTTGATATAAATATGTAAGAGCACTGTTACGTTATATTGACATGTTGTTCAGGTGCTGATCACAGGATGTTAGAGCACTGTTATTTAGACACATAGTTCAGGTAGGTTGGTTGGTTTGTCGTTTAACGTCGCATTCAGCAATATGATGGCGGTCTGTAAATAATCGAGTCTGGACCAGACAATCTAGGGATTGACATCATGAGGGGTTGATCACAAGATGTTACAGCGCTGTGATGTAGACACATATGTTCAGGTGCTGATCACAAGATGTTAGAGCGCTGTGGTTGAGTGAGTGAGTGAGTTAATGCTTTACGTCACATCGGCAATATCTCAGCCATATCGTGACGGGAAATTATACATTTTTAATACATATATGTAAATTAAATATATACCTGTCATCGATGGACAGTAAAATCACAGATTTCTATTTTAAAACTAGCATACAACCAAAATAGATATCACAATAACTAACGGTACAATATAAAAATGGGCTATAGATCGCCAGCAGTTGAAGGTAGATCACAATGCCAGGGTCCATTGGGACTTACAGTACTTTTGCTACCTGCATGGACCTCATTCGGATTTACATCATCCCTTCAGCTGTTGCCGATTACTGACAAATTTAACCAGATTAAACGAACATATATACTACGACTAAAAAGGAGCAGAAATAAACATACTTTGAGGTCTTACATACCCTCTCAGGGGGACAATAATTTTACACTACTTTAACCCCCTTCGAGGATATAGCCACTAACAATCTCAGTTACTGATTAATTCTACCAATTCTAAAAGTTATTTATTTATTTACAAAATATAACAATCAAAATTTATGAATTAATTCGATTTCCTTTAAAAAAAAAAATAATTAAATGGCTATTTACCTGATAAAAAAGATCCTTGATACATCAGACTTTGAAATATTTATCCCTTGTGATGGAAAAATCGATGCAGTCAAGCATGACATGCTTGACCGTGATTCTTTCATCACAAGGGATACAAAATGGAGGATCCTCACCTTTTAACAAATGTTACCAATACGACGTCGTCTTAATACAACCTCTTCAAATCTGGACTGACAACCCAGGTAGGTATAACCAATATTTGCTTTTATTGCATGTTATTTATTTATACCCACTTTGGTGTTCCACTATTTCTGCATTAGACCTCTGATGTAAGATCCAATGACAGGTTTATAATCACTGTATGGTATAAGAAGTGGTGTCACAGATTTGTCGAGTGCTGCTTTTGCAGCAACATCAGCCATTGTATTGCCAACAATTCCAACATGGCTTAGTAACCAACAAAAGACGATGTCTTATTGGCCAGTAGCAAGGTTATTATGTAGTTCTATAATGTTGAGTAAAATTGGATGCTGACAGTGCTGTGATGTAGACACATCGTTCAGGTGCTGATCACAAGATGTTAGAGCGCCGTGATGTAGACACATTGTTCAGGTGCTGATCACAAGATGTTAGAGCACTGTCATGTAGACACATTGTCCAGGTGCTGATCACAAGATGTTAGAGTGAATGAGTGAGTGAGTGAGTTAATGCTTTACGTCACATCGGCAATATTTCAGCAATATCGTGACGAGAAGTTATACATGAAATATACATATATTTAAACTTTATAAAAATCATCGAAGGACAGTATCATAACTAGAATATCACAGATAAGATTTAAAACTAGTTGCGGAACATTTAAAAGCATTAAGTATTAAGTATTAATATAAAAATTGGCTAGAGATCGTCAATAACTAAAGGTAGATCACCATACCAGGGACCATGGGGACTTACAGTACCTTTCCTTCCTGCATGGACCCAGGCAGGATTTATATCAACTCTTCAGTCACTGGCGATAGAGTACCAGTTAAGACTTAGACTAAAATGACAAAAATCCTACGTTTTAAAATTCTGGCATGCATAAAAATACTTTGAATGATGTGGGACTTACATATCCTCTTAGGGGGACAATAATTTTACGCTATTTCAACCCTACTCGAGGGTACAGCCACTAACAATCTAAGTTATTAATTAGCACTACCAATATGTAAAATAATACATTAAACACATCAAAATTTATAAGTTCGATTTCTTTTAAAAAACATAATATTAAACGAGAATTAACATCATTAAAAAGGTCCTTAATTGTTTTAACACTGAAATATTTATCCCTTGTGATGGAAAAATCAATGCAGTCAAGCAGGACATGCTTGACCGTGATTCTTTCATCACAAGGGACACAAAACGGAGGATCCTTACCTTTCAATAAGTATTCATTTGTATATCTGCTATGGCCAATACGACATCGACGTATAATGACCTCTTCAAATCTGGACTGACAGCCAAAGTAGGTGTAACCGATATTTTGTTTAATTTGATGTAATTTATTGATACCTACTTGGGTGTTCCACTATTTCTGCATTAGATCTCTGATGTAAGATCCAATGACAGGTTTATAATCACTGTATGGTATAAGAAGTGGTGTAACAGATTTGTCGAGTGCTGTTTTTGCAGCAGCAGCAGCCATTGTATTTCCAACAATTCCAACATGGCTTGGTAACCAACAAAAGACGATGTCGTATAGGCCAGTAGCAAGGTTATTATGTAGTTCTATGATGTCGAGTAAAATTGGATGCCGACAGTACTGTGATGTAGACACATTGTTAAGGTGCTGATCACAAGATGTTAGAGCACTGTTATGTAGACACATTGTTCAGGTGCTAATCACAAGATGTTAGACCGCTGTGGTGTAGATACATTGTTATGGTGTTGATCACAAGATATTAGAGCACTGTTATGTAGACACATTGTTCAGGTGCTGATCACAAGATGTTAGAGCACTGTTATGTAGACACATTGTTCAGGTGCTTATCACAAGATGTTAGAGCACTGTTATGTAGACACATTGTTATGGTGTTGATCACAAGATGTTAGACCGCTGTGGTGTAGATACATTGTTATGGTGTTGATCACAAGATATTAGAGCACTGTTATGTAGACACATTGTTATGGTGTTGATCACAAGATGGTAGAGCACTGTTATGTAGACACATTGTTATGGTGTTGATCACAAGATGTTAGAGCACTGTTATGTAGACACATTGTTATGGTGTTGATCACAAGATGTTAGACCGCTGTGGTGTAGATACATTGTTATGGTGTTGATCACAAGATATTAGAGCACTGTTATGTAGACACATTGTTCAGGTGCTAATCACAAGATGTTAGAGCACTGTTATGTAGACACATTGTTATGGTGTTGATCACAAGATGTTAGAGCACTGTTATGTAGACACATTGTTATGGTGTTGATCACAAGATGTTAGAGCACTGTTATGTAGACACATTGCTATGGTGTTGATCACAAGATGATAGAGCACTGTTATGTAGATACATTGTTATGGTGTTGATCACAAGATGTTAGAGCACTGTTATGTAGACACATTGTTCAGGTGTTGATCACAAGATGTTAGAGCACTGTTATGTAGACACATTGCTATGGTGTTGATCACAAGATGATAGAGCACTGTTATGTAGATACATTGTTATGGTGTTGATCACAAGATGTTAGAGCACTGTTATATAGACACATTGTTATGGTGTTGATCACAAGATGTTAGAGCACTGTTATATAGACACATTGTTATGGTGTTGATCACAAGATGATAGAGCACTGTTATGTAGACACATTGTTCAGGTGCTAATCACAAGATGTTAGAGCACTGTTATGTAGACACATTGTTATGGTGTTGATCACAAGATGTTAGAGCACTGTTATGTAGACACATTGTTATGGTGTTGATCACAAGATGTTAGAGCACTGTTATGTAGACACATTGTTATGGTGTTGATCACAAGATGTTAGAGCACTGTTATGTAGACACATTGTTATGGTGTTGATCACAAGATGGTAGAGCACTGTTATGTAGACACATTGTTATGGTGTTGATCACAAGATGTTAGAGCACTGTTATGTAGACACATTGTTCAGGTGTTGATCACAAGATGTTAGAGCACTGTTATGTAGACACATTGTTCAGGTGTTGATCACAAGATGTTAGAGCACTGTTATGTAGACACATTGTTATGGTGTTGATCACAAGATGATAGAGCACTGTTATGTAGACACATTGTTATGGTGTTGATCATAAGATGATAGAGCACTGTTATGTAGATACATTGTTATGGTGTTGATCACAAGATGATAGAGCACTGTTATGTAGATACATTGTTATGGTGTTGATCACAAGATGATAGAGCACTGTTATGTAGACACATTGTTATGGTGTTGATCACAAGATGTTAGAGCACTGTTATGTAGAAACATTGTTATGGTGTTGATCACAAGATGTTAGAGCACTGTTATGTAGACACATTGTTCAGGTGTTGATCACAGGATGGTGTTAAGGCACTACTTTCTTCTGGGGCTGTAAATACAAATTGTCAATGCAAGAGAATAACCAGTCTGGTTGATCCGCCGAAACAGATTCCATCTGGCGTAGAGGCCAAAAGAGATGTGAAAATTATATGAATAAGCCACCGAAAATCAGTGACACCAGGTATTCGCGAAAAGATAAAACACGTGGGTACCAAGAGTGCAGGGTACCTTGCAGTAGGTGTCATCATGGTTATCAAAGACCACTTTATGACACATATGTAAATATAAGCGACAAACCTGGCATATCGTATTACAAGCGTATAGTCAACGAAGTCATCTATATCCCCCGCCATTTTAACACGTTATGGTTCCAAACCAGTTAACTGACCAAACATTTCTCTTAGGCCATGTCAAAATAGCTGCAATGGAAATTCTAAAATAAACATTTCTAAAACCCTTAATATCAAAAAATCAAGTTTTGTAAGAAATTATTTAACGGTTTTAGAGTTACGCTCCGGAAACGAACACCACCCTTATAGAACCCAAGTCCAACTTGTTGCCATGGAAACGTAAAAAATAAAAATTTAAAAAATTCCTAAATAGCAAAAGGTACAAGGTCAGTATGTCCCTAGTAGACATGCAAAGTTTTGTAAGAAATTATTTAACGGTTTTTGAGTTACGTTCCGGAAACGAACAGCACCCTTATAGAACCTAAGTCCAACTTGTTGCCATGGAAACGTAAAAAAATAAAAAATTATAAAATTCCTAAATAGCAAAAGGCACCAGTTCAGCATGAGTCTGATAGACATGCAAAGTTTCGTTGAGAAATATTTAATGGTTTCTGAGTTATGCTCCGGAAACGATTTCGGGATGCACACACGCACGCACACACACACGCACATACGGACGGAATCCATTTCTATATCCCAACTTGTTGGGGCGGCGGATAAAAAGGGTACAGTACACGTACGTAACAAGTACATCATTGGTACATTATACAAAATTAACACATATAAATACGTAAATTACAAACCCGCGAAGATCGGGGTAGAATAGGTCCTAACAACCCATTCTTGCCGTAAAAGGCAACCATGCTTGTCGTAAGAGGCGACTAACGGGATCGCGTGGTCAGACTCGCTGACTTGGTTTATGCATGTCATCGTATCCCCAATTGCGTGGAGCCGTCATATAGCTGGAATATTGCTGAGTGTGGCGTTAAACAACAAACAAACCAAACCCAATTGCGTGGATCGATGCTCATGTCAATCACTGGATTGCCTGGTCTAGACTCGATTATTTACAGGCCGCCGTCATATAGCTGGAATATTGCTGAGTGCGGCGTTAAACAACAGACAAAGAAACAAACTTTCGCGGCCATTGTCGTTAAATAAATAATTATATGTATACTTAAAGGCTACAAGATGCAAAGTTGCTATTACTACGATTTTCAAAGTATGTTTTTGCAATGCATATCGTGAAGAAAACACGGTAGAAATCTACAACGACAATGTATTTCAAGATTAGAGGATAACAGATAGTTGGCGCGTTCTTAAAATTAGACTGTGACGTCATATCTTTTGACATCATAAAAGTGACGTGCGGTGTAGGAGGAGCCCACAAAATAAAATAGAAAAATTCAAAGCCTTAGGCGTATACTTAATCAAAACAGGACTAATAAATCGCATTTAAAACCCCAATAAACTACCAAAACCAGACCACATAATCAAACTAACAAACTTCCATAATCAAGTCCCTTAGTTCGTCCCCCAAACCCTCTTGGCATTTTTTCAAAATTTCAAAATTTCCAAAATTCTATATAAGCAACCACTAAAACACCCCTACTGGATTGCCAAACAACTTTTTCCCCTTTTCGGAAACATTAAATGGCTTGGCCGGGCCCGTGTGCGAAATACGCTGCAGTCGGAAAGCGCACGTAAAATCTCCAATATAAGTAAGTAAGTAAGGAGGAGCCCTTTGCAAAGCTTGCTTGATTTTCCATAGGAGTGCCCACCTCAACTTAGCTTACGAACTTACATGTTTTCAGTGCCTGTCATAAGCGTGAAGTCATATCATACTGTATAAAAATAACTGCTTGAGCATGTAGGCGCCCTAAATTGTTAAAAGGCTGTTGTCGGTGATTCCGTAAATATGATCAACAACCCACTCAAAACACTGGACTCAACCCATTCCGCTTTACTCAATATATTTGGTGACACCAAAGAGTTCGCTTTTAATTTAGTCATGGTAGAATGGAGATAAACATGCTGTGTTTTCATTGTAGACCAAGGTCACCTTTAAATTTATACGTGTTAAATTTAACGCTGCGTGTTCGGTTCCATAGTCGATTTAGCGCGGTTAAAATCTGGAGTAAACCTAGGTCTATATTTGAAACACAGTAGCTTTATCTTCTAACTTAAACCACTGACTGAATAGAGTATTTTCCAAATTCATTGCAGAATGTTTCCTTGTTCAGTGTATTTTTTAAGGATAATGAAATACAGTTAATAATCTGACACGCAAGTATATACGAAAGACAAAATTACCATCCGTTTCTAATGTCTCTGAACAGGCGAAATGGCTGGTAATATTCCTATCTACTTAAACTCAATATTTACTTGAAAAAAATCCACTTAGACCAAATAGCAAATTATTTTTCATTAGATCAGTCATTGAGGCATTGAATATCTACCGTCAGAATCCAGCAATGTGAGGAGGACCAACCCAGGTGCCTTGCAAACGCCACATACGCCACCACAGCGTATCTCCATTAGCTGATGATTCGATGACCGTGTGACAATCGGGTTCCAAATAGAAACCCCGTAAGCTATGCGCCAAGTAATCTGAAATGAGTTCATTCATTAATTATTGGAATAATTGTGCGCTTGGTTTTTAGTTTGTTGTTTAACGCCGCACTCAGCAATATTCCAGCTATATGACGGCGTGCCCTTCGTGGTACAGTAGAACCTGGATATAACGAACTACAAGGGACCGGAGAAATCAGTTCATTATATTCGTTGTTCGTTATATACGTTTTCGCTCTGAAGCGTCCGCCATCTTGGCTAAAACAAAATACAATACACATACACGTTTTTACACGTTTCCTCCCGCATCTACTGGTGATTCAGTTAAAAAGTACCAACATTTTTATGCAATGTTCGGACGAAATTGTATCTGAAGTTATTATTTGATCACAATTAAGATTAACATAATGCAAGTTTAACTAAGTTGAATCGTCATCAGTAATTGTGTTGATTCACGTCTGATTGCGTACAGCCAATTGTCAGTGACACTTGACACTGAGTGAGATTTCTCAGTTCTCTATACACGTCACTAATTTGTGGTAGATGGGCTTGTCGGTGATCAGATATCAGTTCGCTGTAGAGAGTTCGTTATGTACGTAAATTTTATATGATAATATATAGAAGATAAATCGGGGATGTTTTAACAGTTCGTTGTATCCGCTTGTTCGCTCTATCCGTGTTCGTCATATCCGTGTTCTGCTGTATTTATGGAATATTGCAAATGTGGCGCACCATGATGATTTAGAATATATTAACATACATATTCCTGTACTGCAGATGATATTTCAGAAAGTTTCTTCCTATTAATCTAAACTAAACATTGATATTGATTGGCAGAACAGTATTCAATATTTATACGTGCAAATTGTGAGGAAATTAGACTGAAAATGCAAACAAGACAGCGATTCATTGGACATCTAAGGTTGGACAGTTGATATTTCATGCAGGCAAATAACTATAACGAGGTAATTTTTGCTTGGGTCGGTAGATATATAGCCTGAGATATGAAAATAACAATATATGAATTTCAAGTTTCAGGTCACATCTATTATAATAGTAATCCAAATGAAACGCTGCGCTCTTGTGTAAATAACACACTCAACCAGTTTTCGTACAGACCTTAATGTAAATATCTATTCAATCACTATTGAAATCTTTAAAACCAATTAAATTCGGTTCATTCCGTCAAATGCTAAATAATGTCGGTTAACGATACATTCTTGTTTCTCATACTTGTCTTCAAATCTGACTGCGAATGTTTTTTAAATATTTATTTTAACAGCCCTATGTTCAACTTCAAAACTTACAAACCACGAATGCCAACATTCTAACTTGTAACAAATTGAAAAAAATGCTTCTAAACATGGCCTTTTCGCGAACACTTGGTATCATCACCATTTGAAAGCGACTCATATACACCTACTTATGACATAGTCGGAAGGTTTTGTGTGAGTATTATGGAAGTGTTTTTTGGCCGCTTATATCAACACATACACACAAAGAAACTGTGACGTTGGCAATGTTGGGGACAGGCAGAGCTGGCATGAGAAACAAGAAATGTATTCTATTTTCTCAAGCCTAAACTGACCGATTCGTTCAAAGCGAGCCCAGTCCCTCTCAAGTCCATAACTGCCCGACCCTCTGGACCACAGGCGCTTCCTGCCGCGGAGTAGCAATCTCTGACCACTGCCACATTGGCAGTGTTCACACCAGTCTTGCTATAGAAATCCCTGGCTTTCTTTAGGATTGCCATGTTCTGAAATGTAAGCAAAGGATTTACATCGACTGCAGAGCGAGTTGTTTCAGCAATGTTTCAGTTATATCACGTTATATCAAGGATATATTTTGTGGAAGGAAAACTAGAAGGAATGAACGACTTTTACCATAATATGGACGGTATGGTGCTGAAGAACCAGGGGTGATAATCTGTAGAATCTGGGAATCCTGGCATGCAAAGGGAACGCAATCTTATTGCATCAGGAGAACAAGAGCAAAGTTCCGGATTATTATTTTGATGAGAAATATTGTTGTGTGAAATCTTCTAAGCTCTGTTATTCCTTCCCCAAGGTCCCAGAGTTGGTTGGTTTGTTGTTTAACGCCGCACTCAGTAATATTCCAGCTATATGACGGCGGTCTGTAAATAATCGGGTCTGGACCAGAAAATCCAGTGATTGGTAAAATGAGCAACGATCCACGCAATTGGGATACGATGACATGCATTAACCAAGTCAGCGAGCCAGACCACCCGATCCCGTTAGTCGCCTTTTACGACAAGTAAAGTCGCCTTTTACGGCAAGCATGGGTTGCTGAAGACCTATTCTACCCCGGAATCCTCACGGGTCCATGGTACCCAGAAGGTGCGGGACGTTACTTTTGATATCAATCACTGACACAATTATTTTCAGGCCGTCGCCTTAACACTGGGATTGTGCTCACCCCAGCACTAAATAATGAACCTATAAATGTCTTAGATGTAATCAAGTCAAATTCTAGCATGTTTTTGACTAATTTGATACAACTGAGGATATCATCAGGTATTTAAATCTTACCGTGATGTCCAAGCCGAATTTGTTATAGACGTGATATCCAAGTAGATCGTCCTCCACAGGTAACTCCCCAGTGCAATCCCGATTTTGCACCTTTGGGGCATTCATGAAATATGGTGTTTTCAAAGAGATGTACTCGGAAGGTGTACTATTCATTGCATGGCAATACACCCTAACTCGTGCGCCATTCAACTTTCGTGGGTACATCCAGTATTCTCCGTCAGTGTACGTGGAACTAAGTTGCTGTATTTCGGTACAGTTCGATATGGCTGAAACGACAAGTGGGCTGTTACTGTGTCGTCGAGTGGCTATTCAACATTTCGGAAAATCAGATTATGATAGAGTATTAACGTTATGGTCATATGAAGATGTACAACGAGAATTCACTGAATATGTTTCAATGCTTGTTGACACGATACGCCATGCTATCCCATGCCATGACCTCTGGAGGCCGACCATTTCATATTCTTAGGGGGGTGGGGGGAGGGGCTGGAACATTATCGAAACAAAACGTGTCCCCCAAAATGCATGAAAGTAAATTAAGCTTAACATTATCAAAAAGAACATTTATTTTTTTGTAATAAGAAAGAAGTAGCAGCTACCCAAAAAATATTTCCCTCAGTTTTAATTATGAAAAAAATATCTTCTGTCGCTGTACCAGATACAAGACCCAAATGTTTGCAAAACAGTCTGCAGCTAGGTTGGTAAGGGAATATTGTATCTTGTGGATCGTTTCTCAATCTGCCAGACAGTCTCGATTATTTACAGGCTGCCATGATACAACTGGAATACGGTTGGTTGGTTGGTTGGCTTCATGTTTAACGCCCCACTCAGCAATAGTCCAGCTATATGACGGCGGTCTGTAAATAATCGAGTCTGGACCAGACAATCCAGTGACTTATATCGTGAGCATCGATCTTCGCAATGGGGATCGCTGACATGCATCAGCCAAGTCAGCGAACCTGACCACCCGATCCCGTTAGTCGCCTTTTAGAGAAGCATAGTCGCCTTTTGTACGGCAAGCATGGGTTGCTGAAGACCTATTCTACCCCGGATCTTCAAAAGGTGTTCTGGTTGGTTGGTTGGTTGGTTGGTTTGTTGTTTAACGCCGCACTCAGCAATATTCCAGCTATATGACGACGGTCTGTAAATAATCAGAGTCTGGACCAGACAATCCAGTGATTTATATCATGAGCATCGATCCACGCAATTGGGATCAATGACATGCATCAACCAAGTCAGCGAGCTTGACCACCCGATCCCGTTAGTCGCCTTTGACGACAAGCATAGTCACCTTTTACGGCAAGCATGGGTTGCTGAAGATCTCTTCTACCCAAGATGTTCACGGGTGTACTGGAATATGGATGAAGACAACTTTCACTCTCTTACTCACTCGTTGAGTTGGAATATGGCTGAATGCGGCGTTAAACAACAAACAAACAAATAAACACTTACTCACTCACTGTTGATTTCTTACGCATGCAGTTAACTTACGCATACAGGTCATGGTTGACCACGTTCCATCAGCGTTGCATGTGACATGACCACACGGCACGTATCCCACTGCGCACTCGTAAGGTAGGGACTGTGCTAGAGGCGTCAGTGGACCAACGGATACCGGCGTAGCAAATTCTACCGTTGGTGGATCCAGGCAGTCTACAGTATAGCATTAATGTAGAACATAAGACAGGTTACAAGTCATCGCCGTCCTTGTTGCATGGTGACAACAGAACGAGAACCATTCGTGTTAATCAGGTTAATAAATACCCTCCGTTCAAATTGTTGGTTCGTTGGTTTGTTGTTTTACGCCGCACTCAGCAATATTACAGCTAGATGACGGCGGTCTGTAAATAATCGAGTCTGAACCAGACAATCCAGTGATTAATATCATGAGCATCGATCCACGCAATTGGGATCGATGACATGCAGCAACCAAGTCACGAGCCTGACCACCCGATCCCGTTAGTCGCCTTTTACGGCTAGCATGGGTTGCTAGTTCAGATTGAGTTCAACATTGTGCATTGAGATCATTTGGTGATAAGCACCACCCCTATATATACTTAACCAAATTAAAAACTTCACAATCCTAAAATTTTAACATTTTGACCAGTTATGATTGTTGGCCCTTATTGTGTATTCAAACAGTAATGGCCACGTATTGTCTTCAGATAACAACCGTTTTTGTGCAGGTGAATCGATCAAAATCATGTGCACAGCACTATAGTGGCAAAAGTGTTTTTTCACGTGCAACTGGTCACGTGGCCATAATACCGCACGTGTTTTCTGCCATACTTGTTAGCAGTCATTAAAAAGAAATAAAAACACAAGAAAACAAAAAGTCTTTACGGCCATTTGTCGTGCCACGCCTATCAAATGTGCAACGTGTTGCAGACGGGAACGTCCGTAGCTGAAGTCGCAAGGACGATGGGTTGTAGTCGACGGACTGTTTATGATTTACAGACGCGTCTGCAGCAAACGGGTACCACCGCTGATCGTCCTCGGCCAGGTCGACCTCGTGTGACGTCACATGCAGAGGATCGTCAGATTGTCTTACGTCACCTCCGTAACCGATTTTTGACGGCTACATCAACCAGAAATGAACTGTGTAGGGGTAGACTGAGTGCGCAAACTGTTCGAAACCGTCTGAGAACTGCTCACCTTCAAGCACGACGGCCATACTGCGGGCCGATTCTGACTCAATTGCACAGACGTCAATTGTGGGCACAGTGACACTTACGATGGACTCAGAGGAATTGGAATCAAGTCGTCTTCAGTGATGATATAATCTTCGATTTGTTGATGGTAGGGCGAGGGTGTTGAGGCGCCGTCATGAACGTTACGCCCAGTGTTGTGTACAGGAAGTTGACAGATTTCGAGGCGGAAGTGTCATGGTGTGGCGTGCTTTTTGTGGCAATGCACGTTCCATGCTTCTTGTCATCCTTGGCAACCTCAACGCTGCTGCTTACCGCGACCAGTTACTGGCACAAGAACTTCTGCCTTTTATTGGCAGCACATGGACCCGGTTTGATCTTCCAACATGACAATGACAGACTCCACACAGCAATTTTGACAAGGAATTTCCTTCAGAATGCGGGAGTCAACGTCATGGACTGGCCGTCAAGGTCTCCCGACCTCAATCCCATCGAACATGTCTGGGATGCTCTTGGCAGAAGTCTGCGCACTCTTCAGAACCAACCACAGAATTTACAAGATCTTGGCACCATTTTGCAGCAACAATGGCTTCGTCTTCCCAAGCATCACAAGGTCCATGCGGAGGCGTTGTGTGGCAGTTGTCAACGCACATGGTGGCCATACACGCTACTGAACTTGTGTGCCATCAGATTCTCGTGCTTGGGACTTATGATTTAAACTGTTGATGTTATTACCGAATACCGTAGGTGCTTGGAACAAATTATGGTTACCAACGTTAATGAAAATCCTTCTTTGGACATTAATGATTAAAAATTACCTTCTCTGATACATTTGTCCGTTGTATATCATATATGGTATTACTTTTAAAAATGTGAAGTTTTTAATTTGACTCAGTATATTATAATAAATATCATTTTCCATTTTTCCATTGTATTAGTTTGTTTGTTTGTTGTTTAACGCCGCACGACGGTCTGTATAAATAAACGAGTCTGGACCATACAATCCAGTGATTGATATGCGCATCGATACACGCAATTGGGATAGGAAGACATGCATCATGGTTGGTTGGTTTGTTGTTTTACGCTGCACTCAGCAACATTACAGCTATATGACGGCGGTCTGTAAAATAATCGAGTCTGGACCAGACTATCCAGTGATTGATATCATGACAAAACCCCAATGACAGATGAATTGGAGCGTTGATATGCAACAAGAAAGAATCTTGTTTATTTCCAGGGCATCCTGATCATCTTTTACTTCTACTACATGCATGGTTGGAGGCGAGATCAAAGGCGCCGCCCAGCATTTGTTAGACAACAGACCGAACCACCACCCCAGCCTGTCGGTAGGGATCATATAATCGGTGCGCAAATAACTGTGTCCAGTCTACCGCGGGGTTTGAGGCGGTGTCAGTGTCGAATGATTTTGTAATAGTTGTATATCGTATTTTTTGTGCTACTAACTATCCCCTTATTTGCTTAAGGAAAGCGGATATTACCAACAGTAAGTCAGCTAATTGAAAGATCCACTGACTGCTACATTCCTTATATAGGCTAAACGGTCCTGTTTGTGTGTACTAGATGTTACATTCGAAGGCCAATAAAGTCAATTTTAAGACAGTACAGGCTATGGAACCGAAAGATAATATGTCCAAAATGCATATGTTGTGTATAAGATGATGCCTATGCCCTGAAATGTTAGAACGTTAGATCGCGAGGACGAAACACTTAAGTAGATACACGAGAGTTGGGACACTGGCTGTGTAACACCAAGACATGCGGTTTGAAATCAGTCTCTAACATGGGAGATTAGGTTAATTAGACACAAAATTTTGCTTTCATAAAAAAAGTATTGTGAGAACTGGGGAGGCAATATGCAAGTATTACATGCATTCACACCCGGAAGCATATTATAGTTGATATAGTATATGTTTTCATTAATCTGAACACATGCATATCAACAATCAGCAAATTAACAAGTCAAAAAAAGATTCTTTGTTGCATGTTAATGTTTTTTGTTTTCACTTTGACATATATAATATATGATAACAGAGTAAGAGAAGGTTTGGGGTTCCTCTTGAAAGTACTAAATAGCAACTGTTGTTTACTGAACAGAGATTTTTTTATGATAAAAAACATTGACTATCAATTTCTTCTCTCATTTTTCAATGTAGTTCACTTCAAATTTCTTATCTTTTTCTAAACTGTTAAGAAAAACGCTAACGTGATCACAAGGTAATAGGCCTGTTGAATGTCACCCCGTGAGATCTGTCACGGATTTGATTCTTTCTACAGGTTAAGCCATTTCCAATGTCCCCTATTAGTTATTGGAAACTTTTAGGAAAATATTTCCTTTCTCCCTTAATCCCATCTTTCATGCACGCAAAATGTCAAACATATACTTAGATAAAAATCTTTATATAATCCATACAATAAATAATGTTTATAAATTAATATACGGACGTGTGTAGAGAACAGTCCCTTTGAATATTTATGATTCAAACACAAATTTATGTACAATTTGACAGGTTATAATATTATGAATATCAATATTCACCACCACTTGCATAGTTCACTGAAATGTCACCAGTTGGAAGTTGTTACAGATAAACACGGATTCTAACCAAGTCTGATCTTCTTTTACATAGAATGCATGAGTGACTTCTTTCAATCAGAATTACACACAGGGGAAGAAAAGGGCTAAAAATCCTGAATATATCCTGTATACATGGTATTAAGTTTTTACTATCAATTTCCTCTAATAATAAAATGTTACCTTTGGCAAGCTCCAATACTCAGCAGGATCATTTGGGCAAGTGTAAAAATCACAACCCCTAATGTGAAACTGTCCACATGGTCACACCCAGTGATTGTTAAGATAACAAATCCTAGCTACAGTCAGACAACATGACAGTCTATATTCATTTCCAGTATCCTCCAATAAATAGTGGGTAATGTCGGAGTAACACCCTCTGAAAAGATACGTCAAGTCCCCACCAAACATCCCCTCGTTAACTTTTACAAAAAACAACAACAAAAAGTTGGGTGTGGGGAAATGTCCAGTATTGAATATCAAGAGAACTATTTTTGTCATAACGAGTAACGGTTCTTTTCTGAATACCCTTGTGGACCTTCTATTATAAGAAATATATCTTTTTGTAGACCTTTCAATTCAAGTGTATATGCTACGAGTGAGTGAGTGAGTGAGTGAGTGAGTGAGTGAGTGAGTGAGTGAGTGAGTGAGTGAGTGAGTGAGTGAGCGAGTGAGTTAAAGCTTAACGTCACATCGGCAATATTTCAGCCATATCGCGACGAGAAATTATACTTTTTAATACATATATCTTAAATGAATTAAAACCTGTCATCGATGGACAGTAAAATTACTAGAATATCACAGAATAATATTTAAAACTAGCATACAACTATAAAAAGATATCACTGTATATAACGGTACAATATAAAAAAGGGCTATAGATCGCCAGCAGCTGAAGGTAGATCCCCCATGCTAGGGTCCATGGGGACTTACAGTGCTTTTGCTACCTGCATGGACCCCAGCCGGATTTACATCATCCCTTCCGCTGTTGGCGATTAATGACAAATCTAGCCAGAATAAACGAACATATATACTACGAATAAAAAAGAGCAGAAATAAACATACTTTGAAAGACGTGGTCTTACATACCCTCTCAGAGGGGGACTTACATGCTACTAACCTTTAAATGTATCTAATTTTACCGTTTCAAAAGGTGTTGAAACATTATTGTCCAACGTATTTAAAATTAATTTAGCTCCACACGCTTGGCTTGTTACAATAACATTCATATATTATCATCATCAATGATAGCATTTACGTCGACTTAACAGTCTTGTATTTCGTCCACACACACACACACACACACACACACACACACACACACACACAGCCATATAATCATACGTTATCATACTGAATAGGTAGGAAGTCATTATGTATCAACTCTTTATTTGTCTTAATTGAACGTCGGAAAACAACGGGTTAACCGTTACACAGTAATTCGGGGTTATGTTTTTTCTGCTACAGAATCAAAGTACCGTTGGGCTACATGTATATATTAGATGTTGCGATGATGTGTCATTCCTTAATCAGTACGATGCATGGTATAAGTATATACACTTAAAACTAGACACATGTTAACGATAATAATGATAGGGAGATGAATAAACGCAGGTCGGGCCAGTATAATTTCATTGGTTAATTATAAGTTGCCATTTTGTAAACAGTTTTTGAAAAGATGAAAGAAACGATGGTGCAGAAAAAAGACTAGCAGTTAACATTATAACCGTGATGCAATCGCGTTACTCAATACAATCCACAAAGAACAATATATAGGGCGCCTTTTTACTATTTAATCCATATTGTATATCAATAATTCATTTATGGGTACCAAAGAATGAATTTATATCACAAATATGATTTTATTATACCATGAAATGTTTATTGATACAGCAAATCGATTTTTAGATATCAATAACAGAATTTATCAAATAATGTACTTTATCATCTAACAAATCGACTATGGTATGATATCTATAGCCTTCGTCTCCGTGATCTTATGCCCACATTTTACAGTTCGTTTAGAGAGGTACAGTATGTTAACATTTACATATATATTCAGTCGATGTATCTACATTTGTGTAAGGACAAGCTTCTTCCCTTTATTTAATCAGTTTTCCGCCTGGCTCTGAATGTGCAACACAGGTTTTAGAATTGCATATGTATCTTGTTATAATTGTAATTTTATGCGATATGAATATTTATATTTACTATTGTACTTACAACGTTTTACGTGAGACGTTTTATATTTACATGTCACCAAATATTACCATTATTGCTTGTTAGCTAAACACAATTGACAAATAGTCAAAAACAAATGACTAGTAAACTGATAATGTACGTTGAAAATAATATATTGTTAATGCCAATATGATGTATCAAGGATCAAGTAGAAGAAATATTGACAGTAGAGTTGGGAAACTATTCAACAAGCCCGTGAAAACAAAAGTGCTTTAGCTCAATGTTTACCTCTCCTGTCGGCCATTATGCCATCTTATACACAACCCCGCGCTCACGTCTACAGGTCTGTTCCTGTGGTACGGTAATTAGTATAACCCTCTCCCTCAAGTGTATCTTCCATGATATATTAAATGCTGCTATTTTCCAGCGTTACGGCTATGGAGCTGAGACAAAGAGACCCAACCATCATAAAGTAATAGGATCCAATAAAAACAATGCCCCGCCAAGCCTCATAAACATAATCACTGAAAGTCGTACTACAGACATTGGAATGGCAATAACATTTACTGGGATCGTGTATTCTCTTGACACATCGCAAAACATCACGTAGAAGCCACACCAGTACTCATATTTTCCTACAAAATCACACAATAATGTCATCTAAAAATGAGACATCAGCAAGTACAAAAAATAACATGTGTATTGGCATTTTTCGCCAGGATATCAAAAATGTCTCTCCTTGTTACCACCACCAAGTTCAGCTTAACACATGGGTCCTCCTTTGGTCAAAAGTTTGTTCCCCCTCTAATGAGTGTGTCACACGTTGCACACGAGTGACGAACGGGGTGCACACCCGTGTTCAACGCGTTGCACACGGGTGTCACACGCGTGGCGGACGGGTTCCACACGAGTGACCAACGGGGTGCACACGGGGTGAGTAACGCGTTGCCCATGCGTGTAAGGGGAATGAACTTTTAGGCAGTATTGTAAGTCCAACTTGTTGCCATGGAAACGTAAAAAATAAAATTTTCTAAAGTTCCTAAATAGCAAAAGACACCAGTTCAGCATGAGTCTGATTGTCATGCAAAGTTTTGTTAGAAAGATTTGAATGGATTTTGAGTTATGCTCCGGAAAAGAACTCTACCCTAAAGCACCATAGTCCAACTTGTTCCCATGGAAACGTAAAAAATAAAAAATTCTAAAATTCCTAAATAGCAAACGGCACCAGTTCAGTATGTGCCTGGTAGACATGCAAAGTTTTGTAAGAAAGTATTTAACGGGGTTTTTTTCAGTTACGCTCCGGAAATGAACACCACTCTTATAGAACCTAAGTTCAACTTGTTGCCATGGAAACGTAAAAAATAAAAATTTCTAAAATTCCTTAATAGCAAAAGGCACAACTTCAGTATGTGACTGATAGATTTGCAAAGTTTCGATCAAATACACTGACTTGTTTTCGAGTTCTGCCTCGGAAAAGGAAATGATTACGGACGGACAGACAGACAGACAGACAGACTGGCTGATCGCAAAATGTCCCCGCATTATATGCCGGGGGGACAACAAAGATTAAAATAAAACATCGAAAGGTCAATCATAAAATGAAAACCTGATGTATACGTACAAGAAGTGACACATTCCAGTCCGTCACGTTTTTGTACACACCGTGTGTTGAAAGAGCAGTTGTGGTTTTCACATGTTCCCAGTATTCGCTAGGGAGAAATCAAGTTATTAAATGAGAAGTGTTAAATGACTTGACAAACGAATATTCCAAAGTCGTAGACGGAAGGGCACCTGAACATACTTCTTTGTATTCAGAAATGTAAATGAAGGCCTTTTTGAAATATAACTTCTATCGTAATATTTACACCTACATGTTAGTGATATACACGACGGTGAGACATACATATCTGTTATCAAATAGAAATGAAACGCGATAATTCCTAGATATATGCATTGGACATATGTTCCAAATATTTATCAACATTATGATTTCAAAATAAAGTTAACATCTACCTTCCTAGCGACCCTTGATGGAAAGGCAATCGTCCTGACCTATCTAACACGGTTACCAATTCGAAAACAATATTGACTCACTTTAGGCCAATCTTGAGCCTTGGAAAAAATATATCTTGCTTCCGCTTTCATTGATACTCCATCAGAAGATTCATCAGAAGCCCTACTCAGCTCACAGATGCCATCGTCAAGATGGAAGTTGTACGCTCGGCAAGCTGTTCTCCCAAGACATTCTTTCGCGCACATTGCTACTCCTGTAGTTAGGAGTGTATCAAATATAGCCCCAACGAGCCTGGAACCGTCAGAAACAGGCAGCTTCTCCTTCAGGGAGCACGTCTTCTCCCCGGCGCCTGCAGAAACACTCAGCAGCAGCACATATAGACTTCTATACATCATGTTGATTAACAGATCCAACATCTCGAAAGGGTGCAATTATATGTCTTAAACCGTATTAACACCAATGACAAAGAAAAAACGAAAGCCTTGTGTAGGTACAATGTAGTTCCGCTTGTTTGTTTCATGAAAGTATCAGTGCCAGGTGTAGATCATTGATCAGTTCAACAATCTACTATGTTCGAGGTTTGAGAGAAATGCGTGGAGATTCCTGTTCACACTACCTTATATGAAAAGCTTCAGGTAAATAATCGATCAATAGACATCTGCGTCTTCGGCGCAGAAATACCACAACCGGATACAATTAGGTCCATTGATATTGTACCAACGCAAGGGTAGTTCATTTCTGAATGCAAGTGATGTCCTTATTCATCGTTATCTACGAAAGCCCATTAGGACCATATTGGTATTTTGTTTTTGTCTCTTTTAAAAGTCGTAAAACTCATAATTACCAGAATAAAGTCGTAATTACGACTTTTCAATAGAAGAAGATTCACAGCTTGTATGATCCTTGGCCTGTCAAGAAATAGAAATATACTTGTCCTCGGAAACCGTGAAGATTCCGGGGTAGAATAGGTTTACAGCAACCCATACTTGCCGTAAAAGGTGACTATGCTTGTCGTAAAAGGCGACTAACGGGATCGGGTGGTCAGGCTCGTGACTTGGTTGACATTAATCACTGGATTGTGTGGTCCAGACTTAATTATTTACAGACCGCCGTCATATAGGTGGTATATTGCTGAGTGCGGCGTTGAACAACCAACCAACAAACTTGTCCTCGGCGGCTCCTCCAAAGTGCTACATGTATGTTTAGAATTTCTTCTCAACTAATTCCAATGTTATGAACGTTAAACAAATGTATATATGCACGATACAACATGCTGTGTATTGATTCAGTGTGAGAACATATCTCTGCAGGGACCGCACGCGTCGAAGTCTTAGTTCCATTAACCAGTTAGGTGATTGCACCAATTGAACCAGTTACTGTGGCATCACCATCGATTTGATTCGTTACATACTAATCAGTCGAGTTCCTAGAATGAGGGGACACGGGTGGCCAAGTCGTCTAAGGCGCCGCGATTCGCTGTGCAGAGTTGCGTCCCTTGGGCACGCCAGAAACCTATGATTGTGGGTTCGAATCCCGGTTCGCCCCGATTATGTTTCTAGGTTTGTCAGCACCATACCCGTGCTCGTGGGTTTCACCGAAGTGGTAAACGTCTGAGACCTGCATCACTTCGGGCTTTCCTCCCACATCAAGCTGACACGCCGTGATATAACTGGAATACTGTTAAAAGCGGCGTTAAACACAACACACTCACTCACTCCTAGAATGAATTTTATCTGATCGGCCGGATATAGCTTGAGTGCATCCCATCATGATCGCTGAAATCGGTGTAGCTGGCTAGACATGACGACAGCTTGGAAGATCCGGGGTGGAATAGTTCTTCAGCAACCCATGCTTGCCGTAAGAGGCGACAAACGGGATCGTGTGGTCAGGCTTGCTGACTTGGTTGATGCATGTCATCGATCCAAATTGCATGGTTAAAGAAACAAACAAACTTATTTATTTTGTGAGGGTGTAAGACAAAAGTGAATGGGTGGTGGCCAGTGAATGGACATCTTTGCCTATATTGTAGTGTATGTTTCGTTTACAATTTATTTCTCTGTAATGACAAATTAAACCAATCTTAGTCGTGCTGACCCGTGAAGATTCCGGGGTAGAAGAGGTCTTCAGCAACCCATGATTTCCGTAAAAGGCGACTAACGGGATCGGGTGGTCAGGCTCGCTGACTTGGTGGATGCATGTCATCGATCCCAATTGCGTGGATCGATGCTCATGATATTAATCACTGGATTGTCTGGTCCAGACTCGATTATTTACAGACCGCCGTCATATAGCTGGAATATTGCCGAGCGCGGCGTTAACCAACAAACCAACTAACCAATCTAGATAAATAGTGAACTGCTTTGTTAACATCCAGGAGCTGATCCATCAAAAGTGCTCGATCGATCCAACACCAGTCTTAAATCGACACTTATGAAGATACATTTTTTAATGTGAGTTTTTAGAGAAATGCCGTTTGGTGCAGGACAAATAAACCTGAAAGCTGAAGATCAAGAAGAATGCTTACAAAAGAATGAATGGCTGTCGATGTCTATACTAGAAACAAACGCAGCTGGTTCTTTATTTTCTCTAGTGTAGTATTCAACAACTTGAACTATAGAAGAACCGCATTGTTTGTCCAGGCCTACCGACCAGAGCTGTGAGACTCCTACACGCTATGCTTTATTTCATACAAAATATAGTGGTATGCAACTATAAGCACACTGAAAGTGTACTCAAAATAAAATCCATTGCTTATTAATTTAACATCAATCTGATGAACCTTAAGACAGACTTTTGAATTGTATTTCTTCAAGTCTGCGTTTTATAGAAAAGACAAAGAAAGCACATTTGAGTGTGCTTATTATTTCTCAAGTAAAAGTACCAATATTCTGCTGTCTCTATGCAAGTCTTCTGCGAGGACAGAGTTGTTAATATTTCATTTGATGCACAATATCATCCAAACATTTGAACTGGTTTTCAACAGAGACGATTAAAGTGTCTTCTGGTAAAGTACTCGAATGTAACAATACATCTGCTTGTTTCTTTGTGATGACCCGAGAAAGCAAACATGTTTGTTCTTTGTATCAGGGCGACTTCTTCGTTGTCACAATCGTGGCAGTTTGGTCCTAAAATTGGGCGTTATAGATACATATTTGTTTGTTGTTTTACGCCGCACTCAAATATATTCCAGTTATGTCTTAACCCGACAAACTACTGACTGATATCATGAGCAATTGTTTAAGCCGTCAATTTCAGTCAACAAAGTCACGGAGTCTTTAATTTAAAGGGGTGCACGGGTGGCCCAGTCGCCAGAAACCTATGAGCGTGAGCTCGAATTCTGCTTCGCACCGATTATGTTTCTAGGTTTGTACTCGTGCTCGTGGCTTTCACCGAAGTGGTAAACGTCTGAGACCTGCATCACTTCGGGCTTTCCTCCCACATTAAGCTGTCACGCCGTGATATAACTTGAATAATGTTAAAAGCGGCGTTAAACCCAACTCACTCACTGACTTTACTTTTAAGTTTGTTTGTTTGTTGTTTTACACCGCACTCAGCAATAGTCCAGCTATATCACGGCGGTCTGTGAATAACCGAGTCTGGACCAGACTATCCAGTGATGAACATCATGAGCTTCAATCCACGCAATTGGGATCGAAGACATTTATCTAACAAGTAAGCGAGCCTGACCAACCGATCCCGTTAGTCGCCTCAAGCATGGGTTGCTGAAAGCCTATTGTACCCCGGATCCTCACGGGGACAATATTATGACATTGTAATTACATTTGTAATTGTAACATGTTTGTACATCTGACATAATGCCGTCGTTTACAATTCCCATTCCCATTTTGTGGATAAAAGTCTGTCTTAAGGTATCACTTAAGTGACATTTTCGTACCTAGGCGCCGTGGATCGTCGCTCATAATATCAACCCCGCTCTGGACTCGATTATGTACAGTTCAAATATAGTTCAAATATTGCAGTGTGTCATCATTATCACTAGACCCCCTGAAACATTTTAGGAGATACGAAAACATGAAATATACTTTAGAACCCACTTACTTAACAAGAATTTTAATTTGTATATTATATATATAGCATACAAAATATATTTACAATGAATGAACTGTGGAATTCCTCATGTCAGTTTTCGTAGAAACAAACGTAATTGTAAAAAACGTGAAATATCAACACACAGTTGCTACATGTATAGTAACCGAGATTACACGCGCGTGAACGTGAGGTAAGATGAAATGGGTTTTAACGTCGCGTCCAAGAATATTGCACTTATAAAGCAGCGTGTGTGTGTGTATGTGTTTGTGCGTGTGTGGCTGTACTAGTCCGGACTGATGTCGATTTATAGTGTTAGCCCACTGAGATACCATGTCGCAGTTTAACATTGATCAAGGCTTATTTTCTTATGAGACAAATTTAAAAAATCAACTTGGGTAATCGATCCATATTTCTGTTTTCTCTGAAGGTGGAAGAATCTTTATAAATGTTTTGTTTGTTGTTTAACGCCGCACTCAGTAATTTTCCAGCCATATGACGGCGGTCTTTATGTATGTACCAATAAAAGTGTATAAGTGTATAAAAGTACAAATGGCTAGTTGTTAGACTTTTCAGTCATATAGATTGAGATTGTTCTAACTCCCTAGTTGTTCGCGAAACTGTCCTTTGTTATCACGTTAACTCTACTCCGTTTCGCCTGCATGGCATATGGATTTTAAGACAAGACATAGGCTCAATCATTTAAGCGCATATTTATTCACAACAATGGCATGTTAGGACTCCATACACCAAGCTGGATATATAATTGATTATTCATAAACACAGACATTGAATGAGATGGCAAAATACAGGATATAGGACACTTGCAAACTGCTCAATGTTTGTTTAGTATGGTGGTGGCCTCCATCTATAGCCTCTCTTCACAAATAACGTTGATAATCGTGAAACGTTTTCACAATGCAGTCATCAGTATTAAGCCATAAGGGTCACGGTCTTTTTAATGCAGGGAAGAATACCAAATTGGAAAGTTAGACATTAGATATTTATTGGTTGAATGTTGATCTTTCAGCAGCATGAATAGTCCAGGCGATGTGTTACAGAGCTGACAGCGTGGTTTCCCCGCCAAGGGATTGAATCAAATGTTGACATCTATTGTACAGTAAACATGATATCCAAGGCCGAGTTTCGATCATCTTCGTATCATTGCAAGCCCACTAGAGGTTGCAACTCCAGTTTATTTCATGAAAAGTCATGAGTGAGTGAGTGATTTGGGTTTAACGCCGCTTTTAACATTATTCCAGTTATATCACGGCGTGTCAGCTTAATGTTGGAGGAAAGCCTGAAGTGATGCAGGTCTCAGACGTTTACCACTGCGGTGAAACCAACGAGCACGGGTATAGTGCTGACAAACCTAGAAACATAATCGGGGCGAACCCACAATCAGATTTAATTATACGATTCAGACTGTATCATGAGCATGTGTTTATGAATCACTATCAAATAGTGATGTACCAGGTGTTCGCGAAAAGGTGGCACCCGTCACAAACACAAAGTCAAACATGTGGTACTTGTCAAAACTGGGAATTGCACCGGACATTATCGTTTAGTGAGTGATGCATCAATTGTT